CGCTTATCTCATTATATTTAAATGGGGAACATTCCTTTTCAAATGTTGTACAATTTCTCTGCAGCATAATCCAACTGAGAACTTGCATACACTTCATACCTAATTTGCATCAATATACCAGGCACCCAAACATGTCTGGTATGCACTCAAGAGTGAACAATCTGTAGGGAATGAAGGAGACAATGCAAAGCATGAAATGTATTTTTTACCTTAATTCCCTTCGCACTGTTCACTCTCGGGAGCATATCAGACATGTTTTGGCGGCTGGTGAATTAATCCAATTCTTATATGAATGAAATGCAAATTGGCAGTTGGAACATTTTGCAAAGAAACTGGTCATTATTTTAAGCCATAGATGGTGTCTTTAAAGATAATCGGGAAGGAAGAAAAACTGAAGTCGCATCACAACATATAGGACCAATACAAATATAAGTAGTTGAATAAAGATAGAGCCCTAGAGTTCATGCCCATATATTTCGTAACTTTCCACAAGAGTCAGTGACTTTTTAAAAGTTACAATTCATCATTGGTAAAAACGGGCATAAAAGAGACAGTTGGAAACCTAGTAAAAATAGCCTAACACATCACAAATCGGTCAAGGGACCATCTCGGTGATTGCACTATTGCATTCACAGTGTCGCATCACACAATCGAACTCACACACGCACCCACTCATGTGCCAACATTCGCCTCACTCATTAGAAACTCCATAAGTGGCGCTTGAATCGGCCTAGACTCTGAATATTGCGCAAGTCGGGCGGTAGACAGTTAAATCAATCCGATGCTCTGTAGCTAAATCGGCGAGTGCCAGAGTTGCTCACCACTCGGGGGCGCCTCAGCTGGTTAGCCTGTCGCATTTCATGAGCGTGCTCAGCACGTCTGAACATCGCGACCATATCTGGTGGCTGACACGTAAGGCATTTTTGGGCGGGCACAACATGTGATAGGTGACGAGCTGATCAGCACTAACCATCGTAGATCCCTGACAACATCCGATATATGGTCACACCTTCTCCTTCCGTTCACATCCCGCGCACAGAAGTTCGCGAGTTTTTGCACGCGATGGAACTGGGTGGCTCCGTGAGTACCACATAGTGCTATATAGTATCTAATGGAGGAAAGAACTAGAGCTCCGACAATGCGAACGAGGGTATCTCTTGGGAGTACATGCTTGGCATGGGACTGGGCCATCAGAGCGCCCATCGACCCGGCAACAAGCTGATCAATGTGCACTACAAATATGAGATTTCTGTCCATCACCACACCAAGGTTTTTGACAGTACTGCTTTCAGTGATGACAGCTGACCCGAACTTGACATGCACGGGAGGCATATGACGCAGCATAGCCTTCGTCCCGAAAACCATTAACTGTGTTTTTGTTGCATTGACTTTCATAGAGTGGTTGTTAAACCAGTCCAATGCAATTGACAAGGTACTCTCCATGTTTGCGACAAGCTGTTGCGTTATACTTTTCTTTCCAGTAACCAAAATCTGTGTGTCATCGGCATATTGTATCACTGTAGCGCACCCTGAATATAACGCTAGATCGTTCGAGAAAATGGAACATAAGAGCGGCCCGAGGGCGGTACCTTGAAATACCCCCATCCCATTCGGAAGAGTACGAGAGCGCACAGTATGCCCTGAAGGATATCTGGCCTGAACCTGTTGGGTATGCCCGCAAAGGTAGCTTTCAGACCATTTCGTGTCGATATTGTATATCTTAAGCTTGGATAAGAGAAGCTGGTGGTCCACAACGTTAAAACATTTTGACAGATCTATAAAAAAAGCAGAGCGATCTCACCAGCATCCATCGCGGTATGTTATCAGTCACTACAGTAAGTGCGGTCTCTGTTGAAAAATTCGCACGATATCCGTGTTGTGTATGCGAAAAGAAATCATGCTCGTTAAAATATGAACTTAGTTGATGAACAATACGCTCGACCATCTTCCTTATCGCTGGCACTACAGAGATTGGCCTAAATTTGGTAGGATCGTTCAAATCACTGGTTTTCGGGAGCGTTGTGACAAGAGCGTGTTTGCAGGCAAATTTGTTCGGTGTTCGTCAAAAATGTTCGGTCAAATTTTGTTATCAATTAGTTTGAAGTTGTGAAAAGTTGTGAAAGTTGTGAAAAGGAGTGCTCAAATTGTGAAATTCAGCTGTTAGAGCTCATTGAGAAGGTTTTCTTAATTTTTCACTTCTACTTTTCGGAAGTGGTGCAATTTAGTGGTCAAGTTTCTTCGGGTACAAGAAAAACGTGGAGAAAATTCTCTACTGCGCTGCGCTGGTGTTTGTATCGGGTTTTTCTTTGCTGTGGTGTTCGGGTGGTGTGACCCAAGAAATTGGGGATGCCTGAAAATCTTGCATTTGGCGCATAGCTGATGATTGTGATAAATGTGATTAATAACCCAAACTTAATGCACGCAAGTGGCTGGAGTCACTGAGGCTCTTGGGCTTGAAGGTACCTGGTGTCCTTGGTTTTTAAATACGTAGGCATAAAACACCAGTAGGTGAGACAAGATATAGCCATGGGTCTCCAGGTTCTGTTGACCCTTCTTTATGCTTGATGGCTTCAAGTGAGCTCGGTTTTGGATGACGCCTTAGAGCATCTGAAAGGGAAACATGGGCTTGGTATGTGTGGTTGGGCAATATCAGGTAGGAGTGAAAAATTCGCATTAAGTATGGGGGAAAATGAGTGAAAATTCCGCCTCATAGGGTGCTCTTTAACACGCAGTCGGTGATTCTAGGACGCTGAGCATGAGTATGGGCATGCACATTTAATCAGCGTATTGATTTCACCTTACCGTTCTTATATAAGAATGGAACTACCCGTGTTGCCCAAGACAAAAATAGATTTTAGTCGCGATGCGCCTGCTGATTGGATGATCACTGTGGGTTAACCTGCTTGTTGCCGCGTTGCAGTTGTGCTCGAAGCATATCTGTCTCGGCAAATACCAACAGGCTTGATAGGGTTTTAGTTCGTGTGGGACATTGGTTGAATTAGAACCCACCATTTGGAGAGAAACGGTGCTTTCCTCAGGAGATCAGGGAATAGCTAAGGGGATCCGCGGAAATACTGGGATATCCGTTGTCCCCGGCTTGGCGCAGGGGCACGGACGAGGAGCGCTGCTTAGCGGTACAGCATATCGGACGGGGGGCTGAACGTGCGCTTGGCCGGCCGTAGCGACCAGTGAGTGTGGAAGACTGCCGGTATGGAGCACGTGGCCAATAACACGATGGACAACGGCGCAGGCACGTGGACAAGAGCACGGCGGACGATGGCACAGGCACGCGGAGCGTCAGTCCGGTGCGGTCCAGCGGCTGCAGTAGCCAGGCACTGGCACGTACAACTTTACAAATTGACTTGACCTGGGTCATCCTCACGAACATTTCCATGCATGTGTTTAGAGCTACTCCTTCCTTTTCCTACACTTACAAATCTGTGGTAAACCCTGCGCGGTGTTTCATGCTTCCTCTTTGTCTTTGGGCGGGTAGCACATGTCCCCTATGCCCTACCTAACCGATGGGAAAGTTTTCAGGCTCGGGGCACGCCAGCTGGAGTACAGAAAGGCGATAGGTTAAATACCATCCTGAGGCACGCGACAGGCATGGACACGGTGCTGCAGAACGTCCGGCAAGAAACAGTCCTGTGTTTGCGATGTTTGCAGCAAAATAGTTTGCTGTATCATTAGCTTTGTTAAAAAATATTGCGTATAAGAGCATCAACCATGTTACCAGGCGACCAAACCCCACCACTACTGACATCGATGACCGATGGCTTCAGTTCCAGACATAATTCAACGGAGGCCTAGAGGCGTTTCCTGCGTCTGAAGAACTTGCAGTGTATTAAATTAGAAGTGCATTGATCTGTTTGTTGAGAGCTTAAGACCCCGCTGCAGTGTACGGCGTGGGCCACGTGTCCGTGGCGCTTGGCAGGTTCTGGAAAATGGGTCCGCCGATCTCATCCAAGACGGGCCAGTGCATTTGCAGGCTTGCTCTGACGTCTTCCCCGAGACGGAAACGCTCCACAGAGACAAAAAGCCCGCGCGCTCGAAAGTATCTAAAGCGCAAGATCTGCATCAAGAGCCTCTCGACTGAGACGCTTCCGCACGTCCTAGTGGCGCCTCTTAAGCCGTTTGCTAGAGAAGGTGTCGCTGGAGAAGGCGAGCGGCCAGATCAACATTACCGTGAACTTCTACATCAGCGGACTGAGCCTCTCGCCCGACTCCGCCGGACAGGTTCCTTGCAAATACAACCTGTGCGGCGGGGCCTACCGTTCTGACACCCGACTCCGCAGGACAGGCAATCTGGAAGTACAACCCATGCTGCGGGGCCTACCATTCTGACACCCGACTCCGCCAGACAGGCGCCCTAAAAGTACAGCCTGTGCAACGGAGCCAGCCATGCGACGTGACTAGCAGCGGGCGTTGTCGATCCCTCTTCTGTGGGGTCCTGGCAGCCAGGTCAGGGATCTGGTGGGGATGTGAACTACTCAGTTGAAAGGTTGTCTCGTCGGTCCATCATGTCGCCGGCCATTTACATCGATGGCATTGTTTGGCTCAGGTACAAATGATCATAAGAGTGCGATGATAACAGTTTATTTTACATGCGCCTGTATTTCTTAGCAATACGGACGGATAAGTATTTCACTCATGTAGCCTCACAGCCTCGCACACTCATAGACGCTATGTCTAGCGCTCGCCGTCCATCCGTCTTAGTAGTTGCGGGCGGGGGCAGGAGCACTGTAACGAGCAGGAGCCGGAGCAGGAGCATTGTACTGCCTGGGGGCAGGAGCGGGAGCGCTGTACTGCCTGGGAGCAGGAGCAGGAGCAGGAGCGTTGTACTGCCGAGGAGCAGGAGCCGCAGGAGCGGGAGCGTTGTACTGCCGCGCAGCAGGAGCCGGGGCGCTGTAGCGGGCGGGAGCGGGGGCTGGGGCAGAGCCATAGCTCTGCTCGCCCTGGTACACCTGCGGCACGATCGGCAGCGGGTACTCGGTCGGCACCGGCGTCGGCAGGATGTCGCTAGACGGCTGGTAGCCGTTTTCGTCGGCAACAAACGTCACCTGGATGGGGTTGCCGTAGCCGTCGCTGTAGCTCCAGCCACCCTGCTGTACGTAGCCGCCGGTGGGCTGGCCGTACTCGGATTTACCGTAGCCGGCCTTGGGGCTGCCGTTCTCGTTACGTGAGATGCCGTTCTCGGTCTGGAAGCTGAACTGGTAGGTGCCGTCGCCCGGGTGGACGTTCTCCTCGCTGAGGATGGCGAAGGGCTTGCCGTAGCCGGCCGGCTGCTGGTAGGAGACCTGTGCCGCCGGCTGCTGGTAGGATGCTGGTGCCGGGGCCGCCGGCCGCTGGTAGGAGGCGGGCGCCGGCTGCGGCCGCGGGCCATCAGCGCAGGCCAGAGCCGCCAGCGAGGCTACGATCAGCTGGAAACACACCCAGCTGACGTCAGAGGGGATGCCGACTCAACGGTGCAGACAAGTGTTGAGATTGCCACGCATGATTTCACCATGACAAGACGCAGTTTAGCACCTTTGCCAGACCACTCTTTGTTATCGATCTCCGCCCGTGGATGCAGGGATCAAGGGATAGCTGTGGAATGTGTGCAGCATCTGTGCGCGTTGACTGGCAACGCGGCGATTCACACTGATTCAGGGGCTGTTGAATTTGGAGCCTGACGTCTGAACGTCTGTTCTGATCTCTTCTGACCAGTGCATTATCATATGAAAGTTTTGGATGTCAAATGAAATACTAAGTTTTTAAGTGGGCCAATTTAAGCCAGTTAGATTACTTTTGCGACTCACCAAAATGGCTATATACCTACCCGTGTAGACTACTTGGGACGGATATAAAAAAGCACTGAGGCGCTGCGACTGTGGGCACTTTGACTTCGTCTGCTACGTAAAGAAATGACCGCTGATCAACGACCTTATCTAAAAGACCCTCCCTGGCGCCCCAACTGGCAGTACAGGCACCGCTGAACTACGAAAGGCAACCCTCATGTCAAGCACCGATCTCCCTGACTGCACTCACCAGCTTCATGTTTTCCGTGGCGTTGTGAGATGGACACCACTGCTGGCGAGTGACTGGTGCCTGATGTCTGTGCGGCCGGGCTTTTATTTGGCCGTGGGAGGGCGACGCGGTTGGCCGTCACGCTGCCGCCGGCGGCGCTGCCCCGCCTGACGCAACGCCCTCTGCAGTGGGCGTCGCCGTCCAGCCAGACGACCCGACCATAACCGGCCGCCGGTCCACCGATTCCACGTGAGCCGGCCCGACCCAGCGCTGCTTCCGAGAGGGCGGGGACGGCGGCACGGAGCACGCACAGATACAGGTTCAGGTTGGAAGCAGAAGAAGAAGAAAGCAGGTTGGCAAGGTTGGTAGCACAAGCGGCAGGCTGACGCGCTAGACCGTGTCACCTTCAGGTCGGCTTCGGAGCGGTATAGTCGCGCAATCGAGCACCAGCCAATGATTTATAGAAGAGCGGCCGATGTCGGAGGCCTTTTATGTTGCTACTGGTACTGAAAGGCTGTTGAAGATTTTGAACCATGTTTCAAACGGTTATGCAAAAATGACCCGTTGTCCGTACGTTTTTTTAATAACACGCGTCACCATGGCGTGAGCCGAGAGTTCCTAGAAACATCACATGGAGTAATCCGATGAAACACTTGATCAGTTTTCCGGAACTTTTAGCCAGATTGGGAGACTAAACACCGACAGGAAAACACGCCAATGACGCGAACTGTGAGGGTATAGTCAATTGCTTGTGCCTTGTGCTGCCATGAGAAAGCTAACTGTGTGTGTGCCCTTAGCAGCCTAGCCTCGAGTGTTGGCTTTGCTCGTAATCCCATTAAGGCCGACAGCCATCCACCGTGCAGACGACATACTGGCCTCACATCCCGCTCCGTGGCGGCCGTACGCGCTCCAAAGCTTCCCTGTCGTGTTCATCACTCACAGGGGTATGGTAGCCACTTAGATATCACTGTGTTCGGAAAACGTGAGCAATGGTAGAGAGGGCCGGGTGTGATGATGCATGAATAAGTTGCCATTAAACAGTTGCCGGTACTTTTGCGAGTTTTCCTGCTCTCGAGAAGAAGGAGCATAGCACGGCGTGGCATGAACACTCACTGGCACGGCTGTGGTCGCCGGCTCACGCTCGCTCACGGCATCGTTTGTGGTCTTGGTGTGCCATGCCATATAAATATCCTCTACAGTGATGTGTTAGCCGCCGTACGAACAACGGCGGATGGACAAAGATCTGTGCGATGATGCGACAATTTTTGACTGCGCAGCAATGCTCGGTTAACGTATAATGAATTGTTAATGTATGAAAAGTCAACAAGACATTGAAGATAACGATGCGCTCAGTTCTCCTTAACTGCTTTCTGGTCCATGTGGCAACTTAATTTTGTTCAAGTTGTGCTCGCATGTGGTTGGAAAGCCATCATGTGGAAGAAGATTTACTAAAGCCCCAGTCCTAAACCGTGGATGGTGTTCGACATACATGTAACTCTGGACCAAACGGGCAGAACAACTCTGAGCTCTTCTGAGCGGTGTCACACGGCCTGACATCCTGTCAGGGTATACGGTATGAGATATCCGCATCCTCCAGCTGCAGAGGTCCGCCTGGCTCCGACCGTAAGACGGTGGGGACGGTATAGAAAGGTCGGCTTCTTCCAAAATGCCATGCCGGATCCCGGCTCACCCCGGCGAGGTGGTGATCTGATGATGAAATTTGAAACAGCACATGGACAACAGGAACAGAGATTTCGCGCTTGCATCTCATCTCGCTAACGAAGCGAACTCATGACTTTGCACTGGCAAAGCGTAAAGAAATCTGGATATTTCCAGTTGTGGAAAGTCTACTGAGCTCATTACATTGTACATGGAAACAAATGCTAAACAGTTCTAGGAAAGTTCAGACATATTTCATCCCATACAGCCACCAGAACTGAACAGTTTTACTCTTTCTTTTTCACAACATCCGAATGCGCCACAACAGCCGCAATGCCATATTCGTATTGGAGTATCAAACTCGGGATCTTATATGTTGTGTGTGCTGTCCTTAGAGGGACGTACCATTCAACAGCATGAAATAAAGTTACGGTGTTGTTTGTTATGCTGCGTACACGCAAGGGTAGTAAGAATAAGCTGTTCAAAAATGCTGCTGTGTCACTGACATGCGCACTTAGCAAAGCAGCAAAACAACGTGGCATATTTATCAATATCTCATTGAGCAAATTTCTGTTGCCACAAAATGATCGCGGAAAAAAATAGTTGGCAACTGATATCTAGACCTTCGTTTATGACTCACATAGCCTGCTGACCAGCTTTCGGATCTTAATCGCAGTAAAATCTACGTCATATGCTGAACTGTATCTTTTACATAGACCTGTGCGCAGATACCTGTTTTGAAGGAGATGGCAACGTAAATGGAAAGCACATATAAATTAAAAGTATACTTTGAAAACTAATGCCCATTGCGGTAACGGTGAAACGCATCACATCAAGTGTGCCAAAACAAAACGCATGCGTAGCTCAGTCCGGTGTCGCTGAGCCCATCGTTGGAGCAGCAATAATCCAAGCACAGGAGCCGTCGCGTGTCCAACTTAGGAGTCGCGTGTTCAGCTCAGGATGATTCGCTTGTCCAGCTCAGGAACAGCGGCGTGTCCAAACAAAGCGTCACAGAACTCCAGGTCCCCTCCAATCTTCTCGGAAGGGCCAACAGACCCCCAAGAAACAGTGATAGAAAATATGGAAAATTCGGCACAAAGGCATTGTTGTGCAACGCGCCCTTCGTAACAACGCCACCTTCCCCGCACAAGCTACCTCTTGAAATTACCAGATACCGCACCCCAGCCAATCCCACCCTAACCCCCTTCGCTCTCGGGTGTTCTAACTGCGCCCTAGCCCCACCACATTTCACATGATATTCTCCATATGTCTTGTGACTTTTCGTCCGACCATGAAGATTAATTGGCATAAGTTCAGTGGGAAATCCAAATTTCAGGGTTGGTTAGGTGAATCCCGATTTGGGATCGGTCATGTCATTGGGATGTTCCAATGTCTCCCCCCCCCCTCGCCGAGTGCGGAGGTAGTTTCTGACCCACTCAAAAATCCTCACACCGCAGTTAATTACGAACCGGAGCCGCTTTCACTTGAGCTGCTGAGTAACTACTAACACAAACTTTGTGTGCCTTGGTGTGGACAGCTCCTGGATCTGAAAAGTTTCAATTGCCGTGCAGATATTCTCATCACAAGAAAAACAATCCAATGAAGCAGCACTCCTAAAACGACGATTTGGGCACCACCTCTCAAAACACCAGGGACGCTTCACGGCACTCCGGATCGTGCCTTGCGACCTGACTAGCAGCCCGGCATTGTCGATCCCTCTTCTTTGGGCTCCTGGTAGCCATGTCAGGGATCTGGTGTGGATGTGAACTATTCAGTTGAAAGGTTGCTTCGTCGGTCCATCATGTTGCCGGCCATTTACATCGTTGGCATCGTTTGTCTCAGGTACAAATGATCATAAGAGTGCGGTGAAAACAGTTTATTCTACATGCGCCTGTATTTCTTAGCAATACGGACGGATAAATATATCACTCATGCAGCCTCACAGCCTCGCACACACATATGCGCTATTCCCAGCACTCGCCGTCCATCCGTTTTAGTAGTTGCGGGCGGGGGCAGGAGCATTATAACGAGCAGGAGCCGGAGCAGGAGCATTGTACTGCCTGGGGGCAGGAGCGGGAGCGCTGTACTGCCTGGGAGCAGGAGCAGGAGCAGGAGCGGGAGCGTTGTACTGCCGAGGAGCAGGAGCAGGAGCCACAGGAGCGGGAGCGTTGTACTGCCGGGCAGCAGGAGCCGGGGCGCTGTAGCGGGCGGGAGCGGGGGCTGGGGCAGAGCCATAGCTCTGCTCGCCCTGGTACACCTGCGGCACGATCGGCAGCGGGTACTCGGTCGGCACCGGCGTCGGCAGGATGTCGCTAGACGGCTGGTAGCCGTTCTCGTCGGCAACAAACGTCACCTGGATGGGGTTGCCGTAGTCGTCGCTGTAGCTCCAGCCACCCTGCTGTACGTAGCCGCCGGTGGGCTGGCCGTACTCGGATTTGCCGTAACCGGCTTTGGGGCTGCCGTTCTCGTTACGTGAGATGCCGTTCTCTGTCTGGAAGCTGAACTGGTAGGTGCCGTCGCCCGGGTGGACGTTCTCCTCGCTGAGGATGGCGAAGGGCTGACCGTAGCCGGCCGGCTGCTGGTAGGAGGCCGGTGCCGCCGGCTGCTGGTAGGAGGCTGGTGCCGGGGCCGCTGGCCGCTGGTAGGAGGCGGGCGCCGGCTGCGGCCGCGGGCCATCAGCGCAGGCCAGAGCCGCCAGCGAGGCTACGATCAACTGGAAAAACACCCAAGTGACGTCAGAGCGAGTGCTGATCCAGCAGTGCATGCAGAGGCTGAAATCGCGACGCACCTTTTTAACGTGATAAGACGTAGTTCAGCGCCTTTGTCAGGTCAGTTTCTCTCATCATTGGATGCAGGGATCAAGGGATAGCTATGGAATATGTGCAGCATCTCACAGCGCATTGACTGACGACGTGGCCTTTCACACTGATTGAGGGACTGCTGAAATTGCAGCCTACGTCCGCACGCCTGTTCTGATCTCTTCTGACAAGAGTGGTATCGTGCCAATCTGCCATCCAAGCTAGTTTTGGACGTCAAATTACGCTCCTGATTTTTTATGGTGACCAATTTAAGCAAGCCATGGTAATATTGCGGTTCACCGGAATGGCTGCATACCCACCTGTTTACTAAACACACTTTCGCTTGGAAAGACACGGAAAAAATGAAAGATGATCAACGACCTTATCTAAAAGACCCTCCCTGGCGCCCCAACTGACAGCACAGACACCGCTGGAATACGAAAGGCATCCCTCATGTGAAGCACCGATCTCCCTGGCCGCACTCACCAGCTTCATGTTTGCCGTGGCGTTGTAAGATGGAGACCACTGCTGGCGAGTGACTGGTGCCTGGTGTCTGTGCGGCCGGGCTTTTATTTGGCCGTGGGAGGGCGACGCGGTTGGCCGTCACGCTGCCGCCGGCGGCGCTGCCCCACCTGACGCAACGCCCTCTGCAGTGGGCGACCCGTCCAGCCAGGCGACCCGACCACAACCGGCCGCCGGTCCACCGATCTCACGTGAGCCGGCCCGACCCAACGCCGCTTCCAAGGGGGCGGGGACGGCGGCACGGACCACGCACAGAAACATGTTCAGGTTGGAAGCAGAACGGTTAGCAAGTTACTAGGTTTTCTGGTACAGGCGACAGGCTGGCGCTCTGGGTTGCGCCACCTTCAGGTCGGCGTCGGAGCGGCACGGCCGCGCAATCGAACACCAGCCAATGATTCGCAGGGAAGCGGCCGATGACGGATGCCTTTTATGTTGTGACTGATGCTGAAAGGCTAGTGAAGATGCTGCACAATTTAGGGAACGATTATGCAAAGATAGCTAATTGTCCGCGCATATTTAAAACACACGTAGCCACGGCGTGGCCCAACAGTGCCTATAAGCATCACATGGACGAATGCGATAAAACACTTAGTCAATTCTTCATCACTTTTAGCCAGATGGGGAGAGTAAATAACGAGAGGAAAACACGCCACTTACGCGAACTGCGTGGGCATGGCCGATTGCGTGTGCTTTGTGATGCCATGAAAATGCTGACGTTGTGCGTGCCCTTAACATGTCGGCCTTGAGTTTTGACTTGTCTCGTAATCCCAATGAGGTCGAAACGCCATCCGCCGCGTGCAGTGCACACTGGCTGCCATCCCGCTGCGTGGCGGCAGTACACGCTCTACAGCTTACCCTGCCGTGTTCATCGCTCACGGGCGGGGTAGATCCCTAGATATCACCGGCTCGGAAAACGTAGCGCAATGGTTGACATGGGCGGGTGTGATGATGAATGAATAAGTTGCTATCGAACGGTTGCCGACGCTTTTTTCGGTTTTGCTGTCCTCGAGAAGAAGGAGCATAGCACGGCGTGACATGAGCACTCACTGGCACGGCTGTGGTCGCCGGCTCACCCTCGCTCACGGCATCGTTTGTGGCCGCGGTATGTCATGACATGCGAATATCCCCTATAGTGATGCGTTAGTTTTTGCACAAAGAACGGCGAATGGACAAAGAACTACGCGATGATGCGATAAATTTCGACTGCGTAGTAATGCTCGGTTAGCGTATGAATGGCAGTGAATAAAGGTCAACGAGATATTAAAGACAGATATTGAAGACAACAGATCTTCTGCATCTCAAAGACGTTCAGGCGGCTGACAAATTTATCCAATTTAGGTATAAAGTATCTGCAAGCTTGCAGTTGGAATATTTTGCAGGGAAATTGATCAGCACTTGAAGCCATAGTTGGTGTCTTTAAACATGATCGGAAAAGAAGGAAAAATGAAGTTGTATTACAATTAAGTGGGACCAAGAAAACCAAAATAATTGGATAAAGATACAGACTGAGAAATGTTTGGTCAAAATTTGTTATCAGTTAACTGGCAAAAAAACTGTAAAAACGGGTGCTCAAAGTGTGATATTCACCTCTTAAGTTTCATTAATAAAGCATTTCTTGAATTTTTCACTCCCACATTTCGGGAGTGGTGCAATTAAGTGGTCAAGTTTCCTCGGGTAAAGTTGGCGATGCTAAGACACTGAAGATGGGTATGATATTTGGACTTAACCTGTCTATTGCTTTCACCTTTTAGTTTTATATAAGAATGAAACGATCCGTGCTATCTGCAGTACACGCTCTCCAGCTTACCCTGTCGTGTTCATCGCTCACGGGCAGGGTAGACACCTAGATGTCACTATGTTCGGAAATCGTGGCGCAGTGGTAGACAGAGCCGGGTATGGTAATGAATGAACAATTTGCCATTGAACAGTTGCCGGCACTTTTGCAAGTTTCCTGCTCTTGAAAAGAAGGAACATAGCACGGCGTGGCATGAACACTCACTGGCACGGCTGCGGTCGCCGGCTCACGCTCGCTTACGCCATCGTTTGTGGTCGCGATATACCATGACATGTAAACATCCCCTACAGTGATGCCTTAGCTACCGCACGAATAACGGCGGATGGACAAAGAACTACGCGATGATGCGATAAATTTCGACTGCGCAGCAATGCTCGGTTAACGTATGGTCAACATATGGTCAATGGTCAGTGAATGAAATGTCAACGAGATATTGAAGATTACGATGCGGTCAGTTCTCCTCAACTGCTTTCTGATCCTGGCGGCAGCTGCAAATTTGTTTTTTACTAGTGTTTGTATTCAATTGGAATGTCATCATGTGAAATAATATTTGTTTGAGCCCCAGCCCTAAGCCGTGCAGTGTTGGGGGGTGCATGTATCTCTCGACCAAACGGGCTGAAAGGCCCTTTTGACCAGTGTCACACAGCCTGACACCTCGTCACGGTACACGGTATGTGATGTCCGCATCCTCCAGCTGCGGAGATCCGGCTGGCCACGACCTTAAGACGGTGGGGACGGTTCAGAAACGTCACTTTCTTGCAAAATGTCCTCCCGTATCCGGCTCGCCCTAGCCAGCTAGTGATCTCACCGGCAAAAGCCGGCTGTTCGACAGATCCAACACGGCGTTCACCTGCAAACGTTAGATGAAGGTTATCTTAGTTATCACTGCAGTGCCAGTTTCTGAAGGCAATTTACAAAAGAGAGGTTGAATTTGAAACAACACATAAATAGAAGGTGCAGAGATTTTACCGTTGTACCTCATGTCGGCAAGACAAAGGCGTGGTCTTCTTAAATAGCCTGCATCAGCTCATGCCTTTGTGCTGGCAAAGCGTAAATAAATTTGGATATTTCAAGTCGTGGGAAGTCTGCTTAGCTCATTACACTGAGCATGAGCACAGCTAATATATGTACAGTTCTAGGAAAGTGCAGACATATTTCTTCCCATACAGCCACTGGAAATCGACAGTTTTACTCCTATTTCACAACCTTCGAATGCGCCACAACAGCCGCAATGCCATATTCGTATTGGAGTATCAAACTCGGGATCTTATATGTTGTGTGTGTTGTCCTTAGAGGGACGTATCATTCAACAGCATGAAATAAAGTTACGTGGTTGTTTGTTATGCTGCGTACAAGCAAGGATAGCAAGAATAAGCTGTTCAAGAATGCCACTGTGTCACTGACATGCGCATTTAGCAAAGCAGCAAAACAACGTTGTATATTTATCAATAGCTCATTGAGTAAATTTGTGTTGTCACAAAATGTTTACGAAAATAAATAGTTAGCAACTGATATCTAGACCTTCGTTTACGATTCACATTGCCTGCTGAATGCAGCTTTCTGATCTTAATCGCAATAAAAGCTGCGTCATTTGCTGAACTGTATCTTTTACATAGACCTGTGCGCAGATACCTGTTTTGAAGGAGATGGCAACCTAAACGGAAAACAGATATAAATTAGAAGTATACTTTGAAAACTAATGCCCATTGCGGTAACACTGAAACGCATCACATCAAGTGTGCCAGAACGAAACGTGTGCGTAGCTCAGTCCAGTGTCGCTGAGCCCATCGCTGGAGTAGCAATAAGCCTAGCACATGAGCCGTCGCGTGTCCAACTTAGGAGACGCGTGTTCAGCTCAGGCGGAATCGCTTGTTCACGAGCAGTCGCGTATCCCAACGAAGCGTCAGAGAACTCCATATCCCCTCCAATCTTCTTGCAAGGGCCAGGAGACCCCTAAGAAACAGTGATAGAAAAAATGGAAACTTTGGCACAAAAGCATTGGTGCGCAGCGCGCACTCCATGCAGCGCCACCTTCCCCGCACAAGCTACGTCTTCAATTTAGAGATACCGCACCCCAGCCCATCCCACCCCAACACCCTTCACTCTCGAGTGTTCTAACTCGGCCTTATCCCCACCACATTTCACATAATATTCGCTACACGTTTTGTGGCTTCACGTCCGATCGTGAAGTGGAATTGGCATAAGTCCAAGGGGAAACCGATATTTCAGGGATGGTTAGGTAGATCCCGATTTGGGATTGGTCATGTCATTGGAATGTTCCAGTGTCCCTCCCCCGCCGATTGCGGAGGTAGTTTTTGTCCCACTCAAGAGTCTTCACCGTAGTTAACTATAAACCGGAGCCGCTTTCACTTGAGCTACTGAGTAACTACTAACACAAACTTTATGTGCATTGGCGTGGACAGCTCCTGGGTCTGAAACGTTTCAGTTGCAGTGCAGATATTCTCATCAGAAGAACGACAATCCAATGAAGCAGCACTCCTAAAAACGACGATTTGAGCGCTACCTTCCAAAAGATCAGGGGACGTTTCACGGCACCCCGGACCGTGCCGTGCGACCTGACTAGCAGCCCGGCGTTGTCGATCCCTCTTCTGTGGGGTCATGGCAGCCAGGTCAGGGATCTTGTGGGGATGCGAACTACTCAGTTGAAAGGTTGCCTCGTCGGTCCATCATGTTGCTGGCCATTTACATCGTTGGCATCGTTTGTCTCAAGTACAAATGATCATAACAGTGCGGTGAAAACAGTTTTTACATGCGCCTGTATTTCTTAGCAATACGGATGCATAAAATATATCACTCATGCAGCCTCACAGCCTCGCACACGCATATGCACTACTCCCAGCGCTCGCCGTCCATCCGTTTTAGTAGTTGCGGGCGGGGGCAGGAGCACTATAACGAGCAGGAGCCGGGGCAGGAGCATTGTACTGCCTGGGGGCAGGAGCGGGAGCGCTGTACTGCCTGGGAGCAGGAGCAGGGAGGCGGGAGCATTGTACTGCCGAGGAGCAGGAGCAGGAGCCGCAGGAGCGGGAGCATTGGTAATGCCGGGCAGCAGGAGCCGGGGCGCTGTAGCGGGCGGGAGGCGGGGGCTGGGGCAGAGCCATAGCTCTGCTCGCCCTGGTACACCTGTGGCACGATCGGCAGCGGGTACTCGGTCGGCACC